ACTTAAACGAAGGCCTTTAGACTCCAATGTAGACCTCCATAATTCAAGTTTTTCCTGGGCTTTTTCTCTCGTTTTATCCGCGAGAAGGATATCATCAGCAAAAAGCATACACCAAGGTACATCCTCTTGTAGATGTCAAGTAAGACCATCCATAACTAAAGAAATATGTACTTAAAGTCAATCCCTGATGTAATCCAACATAAATAGGAAAATATTTGGTCAATCCTCCTTCAGTTTGAACACAAGTAACAGCTCTAGTATACATATCTTTAATGACTTGAATATAAGTCATATCAACACATTTCTTCTCGAGAACTCTCCAAAGGATATCTCTTGGAACCTTATCGTAAGTTTTTTTCTAAATCAATAAAAATCAAATGTAGATTCTCCTATTATCTCTGAACTTCTCCATCAAACCTCTCAATAAATGTATAGCTTCCATAGTAGACCTGCCCGGCATAAATCCAAATTGATTATGAGAAATCTTTGTGATGCGTCTTAACATATGTTCAATTACCCTCTCCCATAACTTTAAAGTATGACACATCAACTTAATTCCTCTATAATTTGCACACTCTTGTGCATCCCCTTTAATCTTAAAAATGGGGACCAAAATACTGTTCCTCCACTCCTCACGCATCTTACTAGTTTTTAAAATAATATTAAAGAGTTTAGTAAGCCAAGAAACTCTCAAATCTCCAAAATATTTCCACACTTCAATTGAGATATCATCAAATTCTACAGACTTTTCACCCTTTGTTTTCTTTAAAACCTCTTCAACTTCTTTTTTATTAATGTGACGGTAAAAATGAAACGTTTTATTATTATTCACGATATTAAGATCACTAGTCGATCATATTTTCAGAAACTTCATTAAAAAATTTATCAAAGTAACTCACCCACCTATATTGAATATATTTTTTCTAAGAAAAGTACTTTTTGATTTTCATCTTTAATACATTTTACTTAAGTTAAATCTTTACTTTTCTTTTCTCTTTGTTTGGCTAGTTTATACATATATTTTTTACCCTCCTTAGTATCAAAGTAACCCCCAGAACTTGTCGATCCAACAAATTCCATTCAGCCCCATCCATCCTTTCAAGTCTTTTCCCCAATAACGGAAGATGAAGTTTCTTCTCATAGAAGTAGTTACCTGTCTGCATCCTCCAATAACCAAAATTTGTGTCATCAAATTTCTCAATCATTGAAACATTCACTTCATCTGCAGCTATCATTCTTCCTAAGATCCGAACAAAGTTCTGATATCAGTTGTTGTGAGTTGTAAGATATATCAGTTGATGTGGTATATATATAAATCAAACAGGAGAACGATCGACGAAGCAAAAAATAGAACTAGAAAATTCACACCAGAAAACAGCAACACAGCGGAACACAACAGATTTACGTGATTCGGCAAATTGTCTACGTCCATGGAGTTGCAGACGATTTTACTACTTGAGGAATTTACACCGGTCGATCTTCTTGACCTATAAGAGGAATCTCTCACTTCGTTGCTCTTTCTTCTTCTCTCTCTCCGCCGAGATACATCGAAGAAACCCTACATCAAGATACACCGAAGAGGACAAACTTACAAGAGAAATAAAACTCAATTTCTCTTCTGCCACAAGCCACCAAGAAGAAGTTAAGGGAGAAAAATCTTCTTCTTCTTTCTTCTTCTTTCTTCTTCATTCTTTTTTCCTTTGCAAAGCACGCACACTGCTTGCACTTCTCTTCCTCTATCCCGAGGAAGCCCTTCCACTGTCCCGTGGAAGACCAAAGAACTCAAATGAGTTGCACTGTGACTTAACGCTAAAGGAGAGTCGTGCGAACCTTTTATCGTGAAACAACAAAAGGCGGGAGGAGCGAGAACAGGTATCGCGACAGATGGAAATCGGGATCGTGACTTTTCGCGATTGGGTGCGGGAGTGATGGCGCTAATTCGCAAAACGGGAGGGGTAAGCATGAGCGGTCGGAGGCGGGATCGGGATCGGGATCAAGCTCCAGCACAAGAATCATGAACAAAACCAAGGTGAAAGACTGTGTCGCATGACATCGGGTTACGAACACCACAATTCGGTTATTGCCTTCCCAGCTGACTCTAATCGTGACTGTATCGCACTCCAGTCGTTGCCCTCCCAGCTAGCTCTGATCCCAACTATATCATGAGGGGTCAGTGATCCAATCATTGACTTCCCAGCCAAGTCTAGTCATCGTGATCTGGTTGTTGCCTTCCCAGTTAGCTCAGTCATGATGGGTTGGTGATGAAGATGAACAATCAATGGGATTATGGTTGATCGACAGGATTAGGGCTCTAATACCATATAGATTTTGGGAGGAGAAAAACAAAATATTCATCTTCAATTTTATAGAAAACAGTTACAAGATAAATAGATGGGTATGTCTCCCGCATTAGGCAAGTAATAAAATCAATCATAACTCCCCATAATAATAAAAAAAAACTAAAATTATGACATCCAAATAAATATAAATCCTAAGAAAAATATTACTAATAGAAGGTACTAAAAATAAAAGCTTCCTAAAAATCCAACAATACTTGAAAATGTGAGGCAAATAAGGTTCCTTATGAAGGTAAAATGGTTATCAATTTAGTTCAATATCATCAAAGCAAGACTCCATCTGGAAAATATTGAAAGTTCTAAAATAGTCATTAGGCCAAGTTTATACCTTATGTGGTTTGATTATATGGCTAACTATGTTGTGAAGACCAATAAGCCTAAGCAACCATAGATAAGACATTCTTAAACTAGAATGATATATAATGTGAAATAAAATAAACAAGCAAAAAAATTATTTGATGTATTTAAATCAATGTGCAAGCAATCAAATTTTGGACTAATTTAATAGACGAAGTCAAATATATTTTGACAATTTTGTTGTTATTTCTTTTGTGCAAGTACATAATAAATAGATTATAGTTTTAAATTTTAATGGTTTAATAATATTTTAGTCAACTATACCCAATTTTATAATTAGTACAATCATATGATTAACATACAGGTTGTTTACTATTATTGAGTATTTGCATTCTATATTACAGTTGTTTATGTTGTTGAGCCACATAGCTCATTAAATCATTATTCTCATTATTTTTATTTAAAAAAGATTTAAGAATGAGACTAAATAAGAATTAGGTTCAAATCTGCTATGTTTTAAGGCTCATACATATACTCGTGATATTTTTGGTGCGTCGCACCACATACATGGGGTTAAGTGTGCTCCATGTTGAGCCATATGTCATGCATGAAATGGGTATCATCAGGTTAGAGTGAAAGAAAGCAATACAAAGAAGACAAAATTTGGTACCATATACATCATTGTAAGTTTATAAATATGTCCGTTGGATTGACAAATGCTCCAATAATAATTATGAATATAATAAATATAATTTTCAGATCTTATCTTGACCGTTTTGTGATAACACTTATTGATAATCAAATGGTCAACTCTACAAAAAATGATCATGCCCAAAAGTTGCGAATTGCCTTGGGCTTATAAAGAGTGCACAAATTATTTGTTATGTTCGCTAAATGTGAGTATTTACTGAGGAATATTGTTTTCTGAGGGCATATCATTAGTGGTGAAGATGTATCGGTGTACTAAAAAATGCGATAGTAGTTCTTAAATGGCCAGGACCAACCAATTTGAACAAGGTTAGAAGTTTTCTTGAGATTAGTCGGCACTACAAAAGATATATAAATGAATTCTTACAGGTTGATTCATTTATCTAGACAAAAGTGAAAAGATATTAAATTTGATTAGACTGATGAATATAGCAAAGTTTCCTAAAACTTAAAAAAAGTTTGGCATCTGCATCAATGCCAACAATTTGATGTAAAACAGAAGAGCTTCAAATATACAATAATGCTTTTCTAAAGGGCAGTCGAGGGGTTCATGATTTTGTCAAGGAAGAGCAGGGGAGACATAGTCCGTTAGAGCAGCATGTGATATTAAACTAATCGAGCTCGGCTTGCAACTCATTTAAAAAGCCAAGCTCGAACCCTTTTATGCGTGCTTAACTCAATTACACCCTTATTTCATTGACGATGTCGATTTAGGGGAAGACCGGGTGAGATATTAATTGATGTCTCACTAAATTTATGTTGTTACTATAGAGTGCTTATCTTTCCCCTGAGATTGATGGTTTCTATCCCTTAAATTTATTTCATTCCTATTTGTATTGAAAATTTCATTTGACAAAAAAGACCAAAAAAACAGTTGCTTTTTTTTCAGATTTCAAACAAGAACATTAACCAACTCTCGTTTGGTCCATACTCAACGACAAGAAAGAATTGCAAATTAAAAACTATAGTGACCTGCTAAAGTTTCTAGCGGAATTAAAAGAAGGCTAAACTAAATCTGAAATGCCTCACCATTAAATGAAGGATTGGATGCAACTGCTTTGAGTTTGGCCTCAACCGTAGGCACGGGGAAGCTATTTGGAGGGAGGAGGGCGGATTTTCTCTTTTTATTGGAACCCGGTTCTGTCTTCTCCTTTGTATTTTCTGCTTTCTCTCGCTGTTCCTCCAGCTTCTTTAATGCTCTCCTCTTGTTCTCTGATCTACTAGAGCGAGCTTCAGCAGTCTCAGCTACTAAGAAGTTTGTGAGAAGAGTGGAAGACAGTAGTGAAATTGCATCTCTTCGCGATAGGCCCGAAAGAAATTTTGGTTGTTTTAATTGGATCATTGGCTGCATCCAAATAACATATTTATAATTGGCAAAAAAAGACAAGCGTTATTACAAAATCCAGCATTATTAATTCTTAAAAGGAACAATCTGCTGAAGTATAGTTGGAGAATATTTCTTTAAAGGGGCAATTAGATACAAACCATTTGAAACTTGCCATTTACAAATCAATCACCCTCTTTCATTCATTTTTCAAATTCTCACTCAAATATAAAAAATTCATGATAAAATCCCAACCCATATTTTTCATTTGTATCAAATTCTCAATGGTTAAATCGTGGCACATGTAAATACATCAGTTCGGTAGTTCAAAAGAATCGGTTGGGTGATTTGTAGATATCAATGTTTCGGGGGTTTGTATGTAATTATCTCTTCTTTAAAACATATGATCAGTGTGCTTAATAAGAATGGAGCGTCCCCATGGAAAAGAGCACTATGCCAGATTTGCTTTGACAGGATAAAAGGCCAGAAATAATGAAAAAAACAAAATATGTTGAACCTTAGATACCAATTCTCCACAATTCTGCTCTTACAGTTTACAATTGAGCTTTATTATAATCACCTAACGGCTGCCACCATGTCAAACAAAATGAAGTATACCATAATCACCAAATAAAAGTTTCGCATGACCTGAGTTGAACAAATACGTAGGTAAATAAATCCAAGATTTGGGCATACAAAATGGCATTAGATTTTTCTTCTCTCTCTCTCTCTCTCTCTCTCTCTCTCTGTTCCCCTCTCCCTCTCCCCTTCTCTCTCTATTTTTGTAAGAAATGCCGAATGCTTGTTCATCCAGTGGACATTGATGTCTCTTTCTAACAGCACCTTTCTATAGTTTAACATTAATAATTTTAAGCCGGAGTTCAAGCTTAATCTTTACAGCACAGCAATCAATGAAAAAAAGGAACAGAAAAAAAAAAAAGTTGGTTGGAGATGGCTGCCTTGTACTATCTACTAAATTTAAGAATTGAAGTTTTCATTGAAAAGGGGTGGGCAGTTCAACCCATTAACAATAGAACTTAGCTGATAATATAGCATTACTAAAGTTAAAGAAAAATAAATAAAAACCAAATAGATGCCCGTAAAATTATATCAGGTATGCATTATTAAATTGCATATGCATGGGTTCATTAGTTCTTGGTTTTCACTCCAAAACAGTCAAAACATTTAAAATTTTTCACATAATAAACATAATGCGTTAATAATCTCTATTGCGTAGCATATATTTCGAAATTAGAATTTTTAAATAAGATTGGTTAACGTTCATACTAAAGATGCTATGATCACAAACCCTCTTACAGTTAATCAATCATTAAGAACACTTTCTCAAAACAAAAAATCTGTGTTGGCTTCAAAATTTGAAAAATCCTAAATCATAAAAGCCGCGTGATGATTAGGTCTATTTAGCTCAATTTTCTTTTTAAATCTCTTAAATGAGTCTCATTCGCCATCTTAACCACTTGCACTTAATTAAGTAGCGTAAGCTTGTAAAGTTCTCTGGCTTAGACCTCGAGAAGTTCCAAGCAACCTAGACTGAAATTTTTTTTGGTATTTTCAGTTATGTTCCATAATCAATTCCTAGGTTTAGCCCAGTTTAGCTAGCATAGCTAAAATTTTGATTTTCATGCCCGCCAAACTTTCAACACAAATTTTCTTTTATTTTTAGAGACCCAATTTCATAAAATAGACTACATAACTGCATTTAAAATATTGTTGAATTGATTTGAATGGCATATTTGGGTCAAATAACAAATTGCATGCATTTGCCTCAAAATATGCTGATAATCCTCACTTAAATAAATAAAAAATTAATTAGATGCCTATATATGTACATATGTGTTGACCTCAATTTTCGTGAGGTCTAGTTTTTCTCGTAGGAGTTAGGATCTAGCCTTAGGGGTCTCCCTTTGACTATCTTAGAACCTTAGAAGTGGTGCCCGCCTCATTGTAATTTGACCTATTTCCGTCCTCTTTTGTGGTTCCAAGTGTGTGGTATCGACTTCTAGCATTTAGAAGGGTGAAACCAACATGAGGAAACCCAAAAGGGATCCCTATAGGACCTTTTTGAGCCTTAGGGTGGCCTTCTGCACAATTCGCACTCCCGCGCGCACAAACTTCGCGATTCGGAGAGTCGACGCGTCCGATTGCTGCAATTCGCATTGACTGCACCGTTATTTGTCGGGGACTCGAGTAAACCACTTGTGACGATCGATCGCGGGTCGAAATTTTGTGAAATTTGAATTTTGACGCGTTTT